CTGGGGGGCCTCACTCCTAGAGTTCCAGAAAGTACTTGGATGGTAATAGTACACTTGTTAATAAGTAATCAATTAATACAGGCCTCTTTAGTTACTGTGGAGAATGTGTACCTTATGTTCGGGTTTCGTTTTAAGTAATGAATTTGAAACTGTAAAGGTATACAAGTAATAACTGTACTCCTAAAGTGTTACAAACATTTCCTGCATATTTTTGTGGTCTGCATATTGCAAAGCAAATTAAAAACTATAAATAAGTTAAAGAGAAGTTCTTAGTGCAAATTCATAAAAAAAACAATAATAACATCAGCATAATAATACACAAAACTTTAAAGAATTAACAAAACATAAAAACAAGACTAGCTAGACGTGCCAAATTTGTCTTTTTTAACGTTTTGTTAATTCTTTAAACTTTTGTCTATTATTATGCTGGTGTGTTATTATTGTGTAGTTGTTTTTATAAAAACTAGAAGTAATATAGGTTTAATGATTTTTTACGATATAATACTTTCTTGTGAGATTATATAAAATAATCTTTATTGTGACGTTACAACAGGCGAGTATTGAAGTTAGGTGTGTTAATTCTTATACAACATTAATATGTTATATGATCAGATAGCAATGGGACTAAGATTGGATTTTATTTTATATTTTTGTGATAAGTAGGGTATCTTCGATTCTCAAAGTTCTTCCATCATCCCCACTGATGGTAATCTAAAACTGACAGACTTGAACTGGAGTGGTGCACTCTCAAGCATGAAGAATTGGTTAATATTCACGGTAATCTTCCGATTACGTAATGCAGATTAATACAATCGACTCGACCACATTCAATATGACAATATTATTAGTGAAGGAATGAATGGCTCAGATTTTTCATTTTCATGTTGAAGACGAGGTATAATTTATTAGTAAAAATGTATCTTGATTTTGTCCATGTTTTATGGGCATCATTATTACGAGCGTGAGCAGTATATAAAAGTATTCGTTGAATGATGTTTGGGTTAAAAATATCAATGCAACGACGTAGTAAAAGCTTACCTTTGAAAAGAGATGTCGCATACGGCTTTGTGAATGGAACCTTTTATATGTAATATTTGGGGCTAAAATTTTATGTTTCAAGACATTAGTTGTGGCTAATTCTTATGACAAGCAGGATTTTTTTCGTTAATACAAATGGACCACTGACCAATTCTTATCACTTAAAAACTATACTAGATGGGACTCACATGAGAAAGTGACCCACATTTTACTACAATAAAATAGTCGTATGAACAGAGTAAAAGTTGCGGTTAAAAGTTTATCCACGTATGGAGAACACCTTGTGCGCTGTTTGGTGACTATCTTCCTAACTAGTCGTTGAAACTATTAAAATATTAAATTGGCCGTAAATGACTTTTTCATGTCTCTTCTAATTTTCATTTGTTCTTATATACACGGGTGCACGCCCTCTGAGTTTATATATATATAACTTTGAAGGTTAATAACCTATTACAAAACAGGCCTTTTGTGGAAAAGGCATTTAGAAAATACTAAAAAGCAGTTATATATATATATACATTTCGACGTTAAATTTACTTCTGGGAAGTGACATTAATCTAAGCTCTGTACTGCTACCTCTCAGACGTGTTTTTCATTAGGAGAATTTGACTTTAAACTCCAGCTTGATCGTTCACAGCGAACAGGAAAACGAGAAGAGTCAAATACAAATATAAAAACTGTAAGATGTTGAAACATTGCGTGTCTTTCTGTTCTACATTTTCAACGTCGACAAAGATATATATAAACACATACAATAACAATGAGAAGGTAGCAGTTTTGATCAATAGTAGGAAACGTATGCTAAGTTAGGTCCACATTATGTTGAGTGTTTTGGTAATA